CCACCCGTTCAATCTCCGCCCCCACCCGTTTATTCTCCACCGCCACCAGAACAATCTCCACCTCCACCCGTATACTCTCCTCCCCCACCAGAACAATCTCCGCCCCCACCCGTTCAATCTCCGCCGCCACCAGAACAATCTCCGCCGCCACCCGTTCAATCTCCGCCCCCACCCGTTTATTCTCCACCGCCACCAGAACAATCTCCACCTCCACCCGTATACTCTCCTCCCCCACCAGAACAATCTCCGCCCCCACCCGTTCAATCTCCGCCGCCACCAGAACAATCTCCGCCGCCACCCGTTCAATCTCCGCCCCCACCCGTTTATTCTCCACCGCCACCAGAACAATCTCCACCTCCACCCGTATACTCTCCTCCCCCACCAGAACAATCTCCGCCCCCACCCGTTCAATCTCCGCCGCCACCAGAACAATCTCCGCCGCCACCCGTTCAATCTCCGCCCCCACCCGTTTATTCTCCACCGCCACCAGAACAATCTCCACCCCCACCCGTTTACTCTCCTCCCCCACCAGAACAATCTCCGCCCCCACCCGTTCAATCTCCGCCGCCACCAGAACAATCTCCGCCGCCACCCGTTCAATCTCCACCCCCACCCGTTTACTCTCCACCGCCACCAGAACAATCTCCACCCCCACCCGTTTACTCTCCACCCCCACCAGAACAATCTCCGCCCCCACCCGTTCAATCTCCGCCGCCACCAGAACAATCTCCGCCGCCACCCGTTCAATCTCCGCCCCCACCAGAACAGTCTCCGCCCCCACCAGAACAGTCTCCGCCCCCACCAGAACAATCTCCGCCCCCACCAGAGCAATCTCCGCCGCCACCAGAGCAATCTCCACCGCCTCCAGAACAATCTCCACCTCCTGCTCCCGATTCTTCTCCACCGCCAGCGTTCGAGGACTTAATTCTCCCACCAAATATCGGCTTCCAGTATTCATCGCCGCCTCCACCACAGTTTCCGGGCTACTAACGAGTCTCATCTCCAGTAATCACCAATTTTATTTGGAGTCATTTGTTTCATGACTGTTCATCAAATTCAATTCAAAATATTATGTCCTAGTAATGAACTTTTGTCTTTATTCATTTGTTTATCTTAATAATATTTGTAACATCACACAATTGTGTCATCAATATTACCTTTAAGTTCATTATTCACCAATTATTGCTATGATCCTCTTTTTTGGCTAATTCTTTGTTAACTTCCACTTGATTGCGACTTTTGAGTTTGTATCCAACTATTATTACTTGTAAACCTCGAAGCTATAATTAATATGTGCAAGAAAATGCACGTGCTTAGTGTCACGATCATATTCGTCTAAGGTGTGTTGCTTATGGCCGTATGCCTATAACACAATTCGAACTGTTGGGTTGGGTTGAAAGGGGTTGGACTTCATGATTTTTGGATCTCTCGACCCAATTCTCCCGACGAGTACCGAATCGAAACCCTCGGTTTTCCTTCTTCTCTTATGGATCTTTTCAATGCCTTTACATTTGATTCTTTCACCTTTCATCCACCACTTGCTCGTAGAATGACATTGAGGTACTCCCTTGCTCCTAAATCACACATCTCTTCCTCTCGTTCTCTTTCGGATGAGAGTGAGAAGTTATGCTCATTCCAAGTTCGAAGTACCAGAGCTTATGTCGCTCATGTCAGCCTAATGCTCTCTCTCGAACAGATGCCGTCAACAACTCTTGTGTAGCCTAATGCTCTCTCTTGAACAGATGCTGTCAACAACTCTTGTGAAGCCATCTACCAGTGGCTCAAGGAATATGTATTTGCTTATCTCATTCTCTAAATCGGCTGTGGACTTCGTCCAACAATTTCTAATTATTTAAAAATATAAAGAAAAAAAAAATTATAAATTAAATTAGGAAAAGAAGTAGGTAAAGTAAATATATTTTTTGAAACTAAAAAAAGGTTGTCCTCCGAGTTCATCCCTTCCTTTACCGCTAAGAAACCCCAACGCGCAAAGCTCCATTGTTGGCTGTGAAGATCCTTAGAATTCCATGTTGCAGTGCCCAATGGCGTTCGATTCAATTCTCCATAATACCACGGCCGCCGCACACAGATTCATCTTCTCTGGCGCTTAATACAGCTCAAAAGAGGAATTTATTCCCTCTCAAACTCAGTTGCCATTTTTAGAGGTCGATTTGCTTCCACTTCAGTCTCTCCTCTTTTAACCCTTTTCAAATTCGCCTCAAAGCCCCATCTGGGTTGTGTTTTGATTTTCGAATTTCAGTCTCGAAGCGGCTCCTTCGCTGTTCGACCATGGCGTCGCAGGCTGATTATGTCGATAAAATGCAGCTTCGTCAGAGCTATAGAAATTTATGGCACACTGATCTTATGGGCGCCATTGCTGCCCACCCATCTTGTATGTGTTCGTGATTTTTTGTTTGATTGCTTTGATTTTTTGGGATGAGTGCTGAAAATCTTGGGTTTGTAGTTGATTCTTTTGTTGGGTTTTCTTTCTCTGTTTCGTTAAATGATATAGGGAAAAAGTTACCTAAATCGAATCATTGTTGATTTTGTTCTCTTGCTCTGTTCCTTTCCATGTGATTAACCATGGCGGCTGTTGGTTCCTTTGCTATTTGAGGGGTTTCTAATTAGAACATTATCTTGTTCTTTTTTGCAGATTGTTGCTTTTCTATATTCTGGTAAGCTGTTTGTTCTCTGATGAGTTCTCAGTTATAGTTTTGATTTCTGTAATTGAAACGGTTTGTTAAGTTCGTGGACACGAGTTCTTGAGGATTATTGAAAGGAGTAGCTACATATTGGCTAATTAAGAGGAAGATCATGAATTTTGTAAGTAAAGAACATTTTCTCCATTGGTATGAGGTCTTTTGGGGAACCCAAAAGCAAAACCATGAGAGCTTATGCTCAAAGTGGACAATATCATACTATTGTGGAGGTTCGTGATTCCTAACATGGTATTAGAGTCATGTCCTTAACTTACCCATGTCATAGAATCCTTAAATGTCGAACAAAGAAGTTGTGAGTCTCGAAGATGTAGTCGAAAGTGACTCAAGTGTCAAACAAATGGTGTATTTTTGTTTGAGGGCTCCAGAGAAAGGAGTCGAGCCTCGACTAAAGGGAGACTGTTTGAGGGTTCCATAGGCCTCCGGGGAGGCTCTATGGTTACTTTGTTCAAGAGGAGGATTGTTGAGGATTATTAAAAAGAGTAGTCTCACATTGACTAGTTAAGAGGAAGATCATGGGTTTATAGGTAAGAAACGTTATCTCTATAGGTATGAATAGAGTTCATAGTTTGAAGACCTGAATAGAGTTCATATTATACCATTGTGGAGGTTCGTGATTTCTAGGTAAATACGTGCAAGCTTTATAGTATTCAAAATGGTATTGGTTTTTCTTGCTTTCTAGGTTTGTAGAATACTTCGATATGGTTTTTCTTACAATATTTCTTGATTTTGTGAAAAGTGGCCCATGTGTTTCATACCTTCTGCGAAAACGAGCTCTTTACAATGATATGTCGAGGTATTTTCGACGACGGTTCGTAATTTTATCATAAGATAAAGCATGTACCATTTCTAAACCTTTCGATGAATCTATCATAGATACACATGTTGTGGTGGCTACATGCCTTGCAGTGGCAAGTGTGGAGAAAGTAAATGTCCTGCAGCTTGTCTATGCACCGAGGTACATTTATCGATCGAGAACCGTCATCTCCTATAAGCCTTTAGTCATCTTTTTGTGGTCATAGTTTGAAGAATCGCGTGTTTTGATTATGAACTCTATTCAGGTTTTCTGTTGCTTTACTAACTCGGTTGCATCGACGCGTTTCATGTTGCAAGACGAGTTCAATATACAGACAACTGAGTGTGATAACTGCATCATCGTAACGTCTTCGCTCTCGATCCATTCGTTCGTCGAGTTACTCGCATCTCATTCTTTTCACTATCCTTAACATGTTTGGGCTTACTTTGCAGGGCTTTATGTTGTGCCTCTCACAACTGGCTTGCATATGCTCATTAATTGCTTGCTTGCTTGGAAGTGAAGAACTTCAAGAGACCGCACATATAATGTCCTGTTTATCTAACTTTGTCTACTGCACGTAAGGGGCTTGCATTTCAATCTTGAAGTTCTTTTCATATTTTGAATCATACTATCATTTATGAATTTGTTCGTTTGTTTTGCAGCGTCTGTGCGTGCATGCAGGTACGCCCGAGTGTTAAAAATTATGTCCGGTTAGAATTTTTAAAAGTTCAAAGATATCTTTACCGTTAGTATGGTGTTTAAAAAATACTCATGAACTTTGAAAGTAGGATTAACGCTATTAACATTTATAACGAAGTTTAATATAGTTTCTACCGTCAATATATGAACGGAAAACATCTATTTACACCTTATAGATCATCTCGTTCTTCAATTTAGTTCTTCAATTCAATGAGTACATAATCAAGGAATACTATCTCCATTGGTATGGGACCTTTTGGGGAAGCTCAAAGAAAAGCCATGAGAGTTTATGCTCAAAGTGGACTATATCATACTGTTGTGGAGAGTCGTGTTCAACTAACAAATACTTGAACTCTTTGTAGTAGCGTGCATGAATTCTACCGTTAAACGAGTAGTACATTACAATACAAATTAATGATTCTAACCCTAAATTAGTCAATGTGGGGACTTCTCCCTCGAACAAACTACATTATAGAGCCACCCCCAAGTTCTATGTATCTCTCAAACAGCCTCCTATTGATCGAGGCTCGACTCCTGCACCTTTTGTTCTGACACTTGAGTCACATTTGACTACACCTTCGAGACTCACAATTTGAGGATTCTATTGACATGACTATGTTAAAGGGCATGACTCTGTTGCTATGTTAGGAATCACGAACCTCCACAATGGTATGATAGTGCCCACTTTGAGCATATGTTCTCTCATGGCTTTGTTTTACGCTACCCTTTGGACTCCTCCCAACAACCTATTATGTTTTTTCTGATGTTGCTATGGGGAACTGCAGACACAGCACAAGCTTGAGCTGGACAAAAGAGATGGCAATTTTGGACCCCAACCAGCCATGGCTGTGCCTCCTACACAGGAGATGTCTCGGATGACTCAGCCGGTTCCTGATCCGGATGGTTATCCTCCTCCTACGGTGTCTGGACAACCATTCGGATACCCGCCCCCTCCCCCGGCTCAAGGCTACCCGGTCCCGGCTCATTATCAAGGCTATCCGCCAACGGGTTATGCTCCGTATCCGACCCCGGGTCAATACAATTGATTTGTTCCATATTGTTTTGCAAATATGTACCCTCTTTAGATTTGAATTTTCGTAGTAAGAGGGCAGTCGTAGTACAATTTACAACCAGTGGAAAGTTTACTCATTCTTAAAAAAAAAAAAAAAAAAACATTTCAACTAAGAGCTTAATTACAAGTGTGAATAGCTATTAGATCAAAATTTGAATTTATAAGGATCCGAATTTATTTTACGGAAGAGAGAGAAAGGAAGAGTATAGGATCTTACTGTTGGATGATGAAAGTCCCCTATCGGCTAATTTAGGGAATGATCATGGATTTATAAGTGAGGAATACTAACTCTATTGGTATGAGGCATTTTGGGGGAAGCCCAAAGCAAAGCCATGAGAGTTTATGCTCAAAGTGGATAATATCATACCATTGTGGAGAGTCAACATATCATACCATTGTGGAGAGTCGTTGATTGCTAACATGGTATTAGAGTCATGCCCTAAACTTAGTCGTGCCAATAGATTGGTAAATTCTCAAATATCGAACAAAGAACTCCTAAAGAAAAGGAGCCAAGCCTCCTCGAAGGCCGTAAAAAATGACTAAGACTCCAAAGGAGTCGAGCCTCGATTAAGGGGAGACGCACTTTGTTCGAGGGGAGGTGTTGGATGATGAAAGTCCCACATCGGCTAATTTAGGGAATGATCATGGATTTATAAGTGAGGAATACGCTACAAATCTAGTCACGTTGACCAAACACCGCCCTCTCCAATCTCGCTTACAAGAAGTGATATTTGACGTTGTTAGGGCAACTCTATCTGGATCGCATAATAGCACACACTCGACTTAGGTGAACAAAAAAAAAAAAAAGGAGAGAGAAAATGATACCGGATATAGTCTCTTACTTTAAACGCATAGCCTCATGACATGGTTATGTTATTTACTCTTCGCTTCTAAGAGTGAAGACTATTCTCACATACCAACACAACTTAGAAATCCGAAGAGGTTACCTAACATAGAATTGCTCAAAATAAAGCACAATTAACCACTATCGAAAAATAATGATTATTAATTTGCTTAAAGGTCGAGCTTTTATGAATGATTATTAAATTGAAAAATACCTAAATGATTAAATATTATTTGGTGTATTACTTTCTTTAAAAAAAGATTTTAATTCTCTTTAAAATAATTTAGGTTTGAATTTGTTAAATACAAATTAAAAAAAAAGAAAAAAAAAAGAGAGAGTGGGCTCCATTGGTCATTTCCATCACCCTCATCGCACTACCGTGTGAGTTTATCATCTCCCACCCGGCCTTCCCAAACTCTCTATATATTAAATCAAATCCCCACTTTACAAACAGAGCCGCCATTACCGTAACTGCCAAAACAAAATCTCTCTAGATTTCTCTCTCTAGAAACCCGACCCGACCCCGATAATGGGCTTTCCGGTGAGTTACACGGAGGAGCTATTCCCCAGCATCCTCCTCCTTCTGCTCACCGTTCACGACGTCCTGACTCACCTCGTCGTGTCCTGTTTCCGCCTCCTGTGGCTGCCGCCGTTTCTCCGCCGCGAATCCACCCCGCCGGAGATCCAATTTCCTCTAAACCCTCCTCCGTCAGCCGTCATTCTCCGCGAATTCCTCCCGGTGGTGAAACTCTCGGATCTTTCCGACCCGCCGGAGAATTGCGTTGTTTGCTTCTACGAGTTCGATGGCGCGGAGGAGATTCGGTTGCTGATGAACTGCAAACACATATTCCACCGGAGGTGTGTGGAGCGTTGGATCAATCACAATCACGACACGTGTCCACTCTGTAGAACGCCGTTTGTGCCTGATGCAATGGTTGATGAACTCAATCAACGGCTGTCGGCCGCCTGTGGAACCGCTGAGCTGGCGGCAGAGGTCAACTCCGTTTCAGGGTAGCAAAAATTCATTACCAATTACAGCGACAACACAATTATTCTTTTTCTGTCTCTTTTTTTTTTTTTTTTTTTGTTCCTGACGTGGAAAATTGTATACATCTAAATTATAATTTAATGGGAATCTATGTTTAAATCAAGATATAATTTCAAGTAAGATATATAAAAAAAAAAATTGTTATTATGGTAAGATAAAAGTCAAATTTAATTAAACATCAATTCAATTTATAATTAATATCATATTTAAAAAAGAATCTAAGCTTCATATAACAACATTAAGCGATAATTCAAGTGACCTGATAACAAATTATTATGTATTTAAACTTACTTGAGAGTCAAATTTGAATCTAAGGTAGTAGACCCATTAAAACACGAGACTTGTTAAGAATAGTTGACTGTTTATTATAAGACAAATATCTAGATATTTGCTTTATATGACGGCCTATCATATCCCTTTTATTATAGACAAATATATTGTATTCATTTATTATTCTCCTCTTTTATTGTTCTTTTCATATTATTTGTAATTTACCATAATTATCTGTATTGGAAATGATTATAAATAAAGAACTTTCAACACCATTAGGTGGTTTTAGCAAACATTTTCATGGTATCAGAGCTTTTTTCGGTTTAACAACCCTTATCCTTTTTTCTCTATGGTTTCCGAATCCTCTTATCATCTTTTTCCTTTCAACACTCTAATCCATATGATCACTATTAAATTGTGTTCGTCTAATTATCTTATTTGGAAAAGCCAACTTCTCCCTCTCCTTGAGAGTCAAGACATGCTGGGCTATGTTGATGGAACTATGATTCCACCACCTCGCTTTAAACTAGAAACCTCCTCAACACTCAATCCCAAATATTTGGCGTGGAGTGCAGCCGATCAACAACTTCTTTGTCTCCTGCTCTACTCTCTCACCGAGAAAGCCATTGTTGTTGTCGTTGGTCTCTCCACTACACGTGATGTTTAGCTTGCGTTGGAAACTACGTTCAGCCATTATTCGAAAGCTCGTGAACTGAGCCTCAAGGATGACTTGCAGCTAATGAAACGTGGCACCGAACTTATTGCTGAGTAGGCCCGTGCCTTCAGAACAGTTTGTGACCAACTTCATGCAATTGGCAAATGATTATAAATAGAGAACTTTCACCACCATTTAGATGTAGTAGTTTCAGCAAACATTTTCAAGACGGTAGTTGCATGTGTTCACGTTTTCTAACCAATATGGTAACTGATTTAGTATATCTTATCATCATTATAACAATTTTTCAGGCAAAGATAAAAGACTAATGTAAAAAGACGATGGAATAAAGGCTTAATTTTTGTTTGTTGTGCTTTCATTATTAAGATAACGATTTCAATTCTAATTTCTCTATGTAACGATCAAAAATTAGAAAGAAATGAAAATTGTAGATCGAGAGAGTGAGAGTTGGACTCTTGGATAAAAGGGAAGTCATTGATTTATAGAGTCACAACAATTGCTTCGTTTCATCCCACTTGAGCAATTTAGAGCCAGTCGAAAAATGCATTTTTTGACAGCTCTAGCTCGACCTCTCAACTGATCTGGCTTGAGTTTAATATTTTTAGACTCTTTCGAGGCTGGTTGATTTGGATTTAATATTTGTATATGATTGCATTTATCGACCTCAACAATAGGTTACTATATTTCTTTAAATACTATTTATTTTTTCAAGTAAAGATAAGACACTTTATACCGACGACGACGAGGTTGTTGTGCAGAACATGAGAATGAAGGTTGCATTTTCTATTTAAATTGTACCCTTATGATAAATCAAGACAGTTTTGATTACTGTGAAATTATTGTTATTTCATTAATATTTATTTTTATTGAAATGAATTTTACGAACTTTTAATTTCATGATGCCGTTTATGAAAATGTTTAAATGAACTTTTTCTTACCGAATAGAATAAACGTGGCATGCATGTACTGAAGACCTTATTTTAATAATGAAGACCTTATTTTAATAACAAATTAAAATAGTTAAAGTTAGTTTATGATTATTTTTTTAATGATAAAATATTTTAAATAGATTTATTACCATATATTTTTTTATTAAAAAAAAAAACACTGATATTGTATGATAACATAGAACTTAAACTGTCTTTTTTTTTTCTTTTTAAAAAATTAATGTTTGAGCAATTCAAAACAATCGAGAAATAAGAATGAAAGTTTTCTCAAACATTGACTAATGAGAACAAGTCAACCATGTTTCTCTATTTGCTTTGACCGTTAATATTCTCTAAACCTTTGACTTGGTCTCGAAAATCAACCCATAAGAGAAATTTAACTATATATATATATATATATATATATATATATATATATATATATATATATATATATATATATATAT